ACTCGTGACACTCTGGTTGCGTTTAGACTCTATATCTGTCTCCAATTTGGCACTACCGTCTGCTGTAGAATATCAAATCATTCAGATGAACTAATTTGTGGAAGAGTATTATTTTAGCTACATTCGCACAGTTCGGATGAAGATAGGCGCACAGTTCGAATGAAGTTGAATTTTTCGAATGAAGTTGAATAAACAAATTAATGTACAAACAAGTAAAAACGTCGTTATTAATTTTGTATACCCTCCACCATGACATTCAAAATACCAGTATTCGTTTGGGATTAAGGTCCCAAAATGGCGGGCTATGTTATGGTAAATTTGTGTTATGAAGATCTGAGAGCCAATTCGGTCGAAAACGTGGCCAAAAATACCGTATAAGTGGTAATGCTGCGTGGGGACTATCTAGGTTTGGTTAGGTGATACACAGCACAGTGTTACGACCAGGGCCAAAAATAGTCAAAACCAAGTACCTCGGAGAACAAATTTAATGATGAGAATTGATAAACATTCCAATTAGAATGAATATGCAATTTGATATTGATACATCAAGTAGTTTGTCTATAAAATGGTTGCAACTTTTTTCATCATATTTTCGAAAGATGGGTAAATTTTTCTTAAGCTGAAATATTTAAAATTAAAATTAACGGTTATGATAAAACTAAACAAGGAAGTTGTAGTTACTATTGTTGACAAACCGATGTAATTGAGACATCAGTCAATCCGTTATTAACTGCAAAGTCTGCAAATTTCCTGCGAAATATACTGCGAGAAAAATATAAAATACGCAGCTCAATTGGAAGCTGATTCCACAATCGTGCAGAACGAAAAATGGTCTTCCGATAAAGATGTAAAACAAAACGGGGAAAATTAACTGACAAAAATATAATATATTCATGAAATGTTTAGAAGTTAAGGATCAAATATGTTATATCTACAATTAATGAAATTATGTCTACAATTAAAGAAATTATTGAGGGCCAAATAGGAAAGAGAATTATGGGTCCAAAATACAGAAATCATACAACATTTTACATACAATTTGCAATTGCGACGAAGAAATATTATCGAAAGCGAAGATATGGTAGAATTGGAAAATATTGTTTTTACATGTTGTCATTTTAATTAGATTTGGTAAGTTTGAAGACTATAATTATTAAACAAGTTATTTAGGCCTTCTGTAGGAAAATTATAGTCTAATTTTATAGAATGCACACGTATTACCTTTGTGGAAAGTTCATACAGAAAAAAAATTATTTCATGACATTGGATATGTTATGTAGAGTGATTTTCACAAGCTGCTATTAAGTCATGCCCCATAATAATTAGAAGCCACCTGAAAGCTTTATTTATACAATCAAGTATTTTATACAGTTAAGTACGGTTCGTTATAGACGAAGTTCGTTATATCCAAGGTAAGGCTTAGCAGGAAAATATATTCATTTAAATTAAAAATTAATCAAATATATTGATGTAATAACGGAGCTTTATTACAAAAAATATAGCAAAAAGAAAAACCAATTTTGGCAAAGATTGCCAGCCATAGCGTAAAAAGTGAACTTTTGTGAGGATTGTCATCGTTAAATGTGGTAGTTGACAGTGCAGGATTGTACCGGGCGAGAGCTGTAGATGCACTCCATCCAACATAGGTGGAACAAATATGCCGAATATGCCTCCCTAGTGAACTCCAACGTCGTTAGCCTCGGCCCAACGTGACGGCGTCGATAAGGTAATTTGCATAAGCTCCGAAATAGTGGACGGAAATCAATAGGATGTAGTGCGTAAAATTGCATTGGTTAGCCACAACAACGGTAAGCCACAGCAACGGTAAGAAGAATCCAACCTGAGGTGTGCCTCAAATTACTGTTTTCCTTATTTTTGCCAATTTTAAAATTTTTAGTTCTGCTTCTCAGCGTTTTATTTATACAATATGTTAGGGTTTAAGTTGCGTTAACGTTTTTAAGTGAGAAGTTAATGGAATGCAGTTCTACATTGTTGAAAACTACTTCTATATCTAGGAAAGCCGCAATGCTCTTCTCAATATAGCCTGCGAATTGCTCAGGGAGGCAGTGTCTCTATGACTTCTAATATGGAGATCTTTCGAAAGCCTTGATGAGAAAGGAAGATGGATCTAATGGGTCTGTGATCTTTTGGCGCAGAGTGGGTTTTCCCCGCTTTGGGAATATAAGTGTTTTTTACTCTTTCCACAAATCCGATACACATCTTATATATCTCCTCCAGGATTTAATATAAATGTGGCGATGCAAATTGAACTATCGCCGCTATACCGTCCGGCCCAGGTGATTTATATGGTTTGAATTCCCACTTTACCTTATTTCACAGACAGTTATCTAGATTCGACAGGGTTAGTTCGATGACCCTCTCCTATTCCTATTGGTCGGTAACCAATTACATATTCGTAAGTTGTAAGATAAAATGAAAAGGAATACAGATTCACACCTTCTGTTTGTGTCCTTAAGGGAATCCCCCCATTCTCGATTTTAATTTTTCAAGATTTTCAATGGGCTGGTAAATCAATACCAATGCTTGTTAAGGTTTGTAACTTTACACATATATAATTGAAGATTTAAAATAGAAGAAAAATAATTTACAAAAAATTTTTGTTGTTTTTTTTTGTAAATAAAGAAAAGTCCATATTTTTGATGGCGGGCACGATAACTCCTCACTGGAACATCGGAATTCGAAAATTCCAACGGTGTTAGAAAGAGTATATGTCTGGCTCTCGTATGAACTAGGATTATTGCCTTCGCTCTAAAATAACAAAATGGTGGACCTTTGAAAAAGTATTTTTGAAAAATCGCAGATTTTTTACCAAAACCCAAGTTAAAAAATAAGGAAGATCTTCACCGATTGGCTTTATCCTAGTTCATACGATAGCTATACACTCACATAGCTATACACTCACTCGCGTGGTGGTTTCAGTCGAAATCGAATCCTCAAGGGGCAATCGCCACTCTTGAACCCATCCATCCGTCCTCCTTACAAGGAGTTAGACTAATAACAGTCCTACCAAATGTATTGAGATTGGTCCCTCTTTGGGGAACTCCATTTTTAACTCTACGGGTCTTCGAATTCTTCTTCAACACACGTCCAATCATCCTTACTTGTTTCGAGAGAGATTTAGCCGTTGCCACAATTTGCTAACTTCGGTATTGATGTTACAAACGGAAAAAATTGCTATCTGAAGTTCTAGCCATTTTTTCCGTTTGTGCTCGCCGACTAACCTGTTGACATATAGTGTCAGGTATTTAGCGAGAGGCTGCAGAAGTGAGTCTGCTGCAGTCTCCCCTTTTCTTAGTGGGTATGTCCTCATCCACCACGCGAAACATTGAGCTATCTATTTTTTTTTTTGTATCTATTATCCGCATTTTACAATCAAATTGGCACAGAGAGTTCTCCATTTGTACAAAATGTCCATGCAAACGTTTGTCGGCATAGGTCCACGGTTTCTGGTAGTCCCAATTTTGAGTATTTACCCAAACATTGGATATTGATATTGACACTGGATGAAAAAATATTGCTCAAATAGCGTTGATACCGAAAGAACTTCTGGTATAAAAAATTGAGTCTTTGGGTCCACGTTTTGATATAGCCCCCATATAACCGTACCTCTCGATTTAAGGTATTTTGTTTCCATTAACCACATTTTATAATCAAATTGGCTATAATTTGACACAGAGTGTTCTCATACATATGTATAGACATGGAAATACGATTATGCAAGTTATTATATATATCACATAGTGATAAGTAATCCGCAAAAACTTAGCTCAAAATCAGATATCACTAAAGGAAGATTTAGCGGTATATAATCAAAAGTAAAACATGAAGGCACATTAAATTTTATTTCACTGATTAGACATTTTGAGTTAATTTGGCCACGTAAAAGTTTTATTAAAAATACATCTCTACTAAGATCAATAAGTTTTAAGTAAATTTTAAAAGGGAAGTCCTTCAACTGTACTCCAAGGCAAACCTCTATGAGCAACTAAATAGAAATTGAATTTGGACAGATTCAAGTTTTTTTTAACAGTTGTAAAATGGGCTCCATAAAATACATTTAATGTAGGGCGAACCAGATTAACAAATAAATTTTTTGTCACATAAGGGTCGTCAAACTCCTTAGACCACCGTTTTATGAATCCTAGTAAAGATTTCGCTTTATTAACACAACACTCGATATGTAAGTGTAAATGACACATGATGTAAGAACCAATAAAATAATCGCAGAAATTAACCGAGATCTAAATAGGCTCAATTTTTTGCATTTCATAACATTAAAGTTCCACAAATGTTCCAATTTTAAAGATAGTGCAAACGAAAGGCGTACGATTCACCGCATCCGTGGCATCTTACCGATATACAGTTGTGGGGATGCAATTACGACAAAAAGAGCTGGTGCATGGTCCGGGTTTTTTCGCAATCCCAGAAGAATTCGGAAATCCAGAAAAATCCGGAGCAAACATTCTGGTTAATGTTGCTCCCATGTTAAAAATACAGGGAAATATATTTGCTTGTTCGAATAGTGATTCTTTTAACTTTTTAACTTTTGGTAGACACATCACTTTCCAAAAATACCCAAAAATACCAAATATATGGGATTCCGTTATTTTGAGCTACCCTAAAAAATGAAAGTAGTAGCAATGTATATACAATGTATCTCAAATAGAATATGGTTATCAAAATAGTGTAGGTGTAAAGCTTTTGGGTAGTTCTCATAAATAATCTTAATAAATGATAAAACAATTTAAGAAGAATTTTTAACACTACACTACCGACTCCTTCAATTTTTAACCATTTGTTTCATTAACAAATTTGCTTCATAAAAAATTATACTTTAAGGTAGCTGTTTTTTTTATCATTTTCATATTGCATTTCTAAAGTATTTATCGATGTATAAGGGCAAATATTGTCTTTAGATGTGTTAAATTGTTGGAAATGCTACCCATAAGTTATCATTATTTTATTGTATTTATAGGGTCCAAGAAGCTGTGCTTTTACAAAAATCCTTACAAATTGAACTTGAAAACTGGATAAAAATGGAAAAAGAAATTGAAGAAAAAATTAACGAAGATTCGAAAAAGGTTGAGAAGTGGGCTGCAAAGGAGAATCTATTACTTCAAAAAATTGATGAGTACACAGAAAAGATTGCTTCATTAGGAGCATTACCACAAACGGATCCTATATATGCCAAGATGTCCCTAAAAACGTTATTTAAAGAATTGGAAAAGGCTAACCAACATCTTAAAAAATATAATCATGTTAACAAAAAGGCATTGGATCAGTTCCTAAGCTTTTCTGAGCAAAAAGAAAAACTTTACAAACGAAAAGAAGAGTTAGATGTTGGTGACGAAAAAATTCGAGAGTTGATGCAGTCATTGGAAATGCAGAAAGTGGAGGCTATACAGTTTACATTTAAACAAGTTGCTAAAAATTTTACACATGTGTTTAAAAAGTTAGTGCCTCAAGGAGCTGGGTATCTTATACTTAAAACAAAGGACAACGAAGGAGACGTTTCAGATAGAGAAGTAGCTAATTCTGATGCATTCACAGGCATCGGAATAAGAGTTTCTTTTACTGGCGTTGAAGCTGAAATGAGAGAAATGAACCAACTATCAGGTGGGCAGAAGTCACTTGTTGCGCTGGCTTTAATTTTTGCCATACAAAAGTGCGACCCTGCTCCATTTTATTTATTTGACGAAATTGATCAGGTAAGAAATTTGTATATATTAATTTATCTTTGTCAAATTTTATTTAATTTATTTCTACATTCATTCATCTGTTACAATAGCTTAATTAGTTGCTGTAACTAACTTCTACATTATTAATACAGGGTTATCCATTTCGTAGTTTCCATAAAACAAAAACACGTATAAAATATTTTTTCATGATATACCCTGCTACTATGTGTAGTTAGAAAAAAAATCACACATATTATGTTGTGGTCATATTATGATCCACTCATTTTGTTGAGAGATAAGAAAAGCCTATGACATATCGTATGGAGTATACACTTAATCTGGATTTTGTGGGGAAGATACCAGAGATGGTGGGCCTATATATTACACTATTGAACAATAAACAGAATTTACGCAACACATACCCATAACTACCACTAAATATCAGGGTGCGAAGATTAAATGCGATTATTAAAATACGCTCTTTCTCACGAATGCTCACGGCGAGAATTCGAATGTTTTCAATTTATCGCGAATGATAAAGTTACAATTAATGAACAAGCATTTGTAATCTCTCGCAAATGTTCGCATTGTACGAAAAATTCACAAACGATAAAATTTCGCTGCACCCGTCGTTCTTCCGCGAGCATTTGTTGCTGAAGAACATTCAAAAAACAAATGTTCGGAGCAGTGTTAAAAACAATAGCAAACAAAAATACCATAAAAAAGTAAACACACACAACGAATGAATGTGTGTGTAGCCGAAAGTGTGTGGAATAACAAAACACATATCCAACAACTATTAGGTTCGCGAACGTTTGTTGTTATTGTTGTTGCTATTTTGAGCATATGCGGAAATTTGGGAATTTTTTTTCCATTCGTGAGAAAATGTCAGAAAGAATTTCCCCCACGAAACGAACGATCGTTGTTGTGTGCTCTCACTCGTTTGTTATGTGTGTGCGAACATTCTGTGGCGAATGCTCGCTTGGCAAAGAATTTATCGCCATAAATTCATTCGTAAAATGAGCACTAAACGAAAAGAAAGTATTTTCATTCGAGAGCGCATTTTTGCGCAACCTGCTAAATATCTCGAGATCATACAGAAATATTGGTATTATCAACGCATGTACCACACATATTTTTATAATACGATGCACAACGAGGTCTAACGAGTACAACTTTCTCAGAGTAAAGACATTACAATTTTTACTACTAACATATTGTTTCCTATCACACAAATAAGAGAACATAAGTCTACACGAGAATGAAAAAAATTTAAAGCATTTGATATGTTTTTCGACTAACCCTATGTGATTGATTATATCAAACGCCTTTTCAACGTCAAGTGACAAGAGCTAATGTTATCCGTTAGACTAATTAAGAGGGATGTGGTACTACGATAACATGGGATGTTGTACTACGATTACATACTGACTATCGTGCAAAAGAGACAACTCATCCAAATAACCCATAATTTGTTTTTTTTTTAAACATCCATTCTTTGACAGAATCGGCATAATTGAAATAGGCCTAAGGTCACCATATCCCTTATTCTTTGGTTTTAGTTCGAAACCGTAATGACCTACTCATCACGACAAACAGATCGAAAACTAAATCCTTCCTCAACATCAAGTGGAACATTCGATACATGTATATTATCTCGAAACTGATTACGAACAAATGCACAATTAAGACTCTAAACATTATCACATTCAATAACTTCATTAGAATCACACGCCACACCATTCATTTAATGACAAAACTTGTTTATACGACTTGTTACAAAATATATTACTATGGGCTACACGCTTAACTATGGGCTTATCGCCTTATTCCTCAGCTTACAGAAGTTCTTCAAATTTTCATCACATTTATGATTGAAAAACAATGTCCCTCAATGTTAAACTATAGCGTATATCTGTCGATTTATACCAGTCATCAGTCTTTACTTTAAGCACTTGTTTCTTAACGGAAAACGCAGAGTGAATAAAGCTAAGTTTATTGTTCAGCAAAATTTAATGGCGATTAACATCACTTGTATTTAAAATATCATCAGAGTTACACAAAGTGCGTCATAGTCGATATACTCATAAAACATTATGTTATTACACAAATTTCTGACAAGTACACTTCTACATATATCGAACATATTATTGTTGGAATCTCCCATGATAATAACGTTTGCATATCTATTATTATTTTCCATTACACTTATATCACCATACGGGAGGTATACAACACCTACTAAAAAGGACACTCATTGAAATATAATTCACAAAACATATAGGGGGTACCTTCGGCAATCGCATTTTCGATAAGAAGCTCTCACCGTACATCACTAGTTTCGATAAATATATTTCGATATATATATCGAAATAAATAACTGACACAAAGTTTGAAACTTCTTGCTAATAAGCTTATTTAGATACATAGGTTTTTGTATTTTTATAGATGTTTCTCTAATATTTCAATTCCATTTCGTATATAAAACTTTTTAAATTTTTAAGACAATATTATTAAAAAGTGGTTAACTACGATGTGTATTATTATAGAAATATTCAAAAATATAATGTTTTTACAAAACTGATCGAAAAAAATGAAAAAAAAAAAACTATAAACAGTACATTCGGCATTTTAAAGTGGGGTCCATTCGGCCATATACAGATTGTGCAATATTATTTCTTTAAAATGTTTTTGAGTTTGTCTTTAAAACTAATCCTTTAATATGGTTCGAAATTGCATACATAAGATCAAACGTGCTTGTATTGACGAAAATGCGATAGAAACCCCCTATTTCTGATCGTGTGTGCGACCTTGAGATGTAAACGTCCGCCGTTAGAAAATAAAGCCATATAATTCAAACATTGTGTGGTGTATTAAAACCAAATAGAGCCTTTAGAGGATCAGAATTTCAACCAGATTGATATCGATGACAATTTTTACTATGATAACGAATTTTCCTTTATGATACCGAAGAAAATAGTAAAATCGAGTAGATCCTTGCAGTACGGGAACAGACCATATATTTATAATTGCTTTGTATCTATGTTAACATATTCGTAATTGTATTCGTTACTTTTTACATTACTGTTAATTGTAATCAATGTCTGTTTGCGTAGTTACACTTGCATATCATACTTCAACTGCACAACTTCATCGAAGCTTAATACCATCCTTAATAAATAATTAATATAGTATAATCTTATTCAACGCGTGTTTAATTTCAAATATAATACACAACAAAGAATTGGCGACGAGTATAAACTCAATTTAATTCAAGTGAAGTGAATAAGATTTTATGCAAAAAAAAAATTAATTCAATTTTATAACCAAATTCAATTGTATAATCAAACAAAAAAAAAATGGACGCAACACAGTTAGCGCAATTATTAGACGCCATAAGTACAATGGCGACGGCTATGAAAAATCAACAGCCATCTTCAACTTCAACATCGACAAGTGTTAACATCATTACCAATTTCGAGGTATTCGATCCTAAAACAGAAAACTTCAAAAGCAAGCTTTTGTTGCAGTACATCGGATCTCCCGTCTATTCAACCCTCAATACGTTGGCGGAAAAAAATGTTTTGGTTGAACAGTATAAATTTCTGTGCGAAATTCAAAACGGAAACCAAAACATCTCCGAATTTGTTGCTGTGCTACAATGAAGCCCATCAGTATACTTTAAAGTATACTTTTGTGACATATACAATTTGTAATTCATATAAAAACGTTTTTAATAATGATTTTAATTTATATAATAACAAAAATTAAATTCTTCAATAATTTTTCCGACCACCAAAATTTACACACAATTTTGTTCGGTAATGTTCTGTTTTCCCTCACACATACTAACGCATTTTAATTTTGGGCACCTATGCTGTGCTACAACAACGATCCACTGCCTGTAAGTTTGAGTGTAAGAAATCTGTGGCAGAGATTTTCCTGCGTTCTCAGTTCATCAGGGGTCTGCGAGATGCGCACATACGTGAACAACTACTACAGACCCCGACGCATCAGTTACACAAATCGTCGAAAAAGCAACAACTCTGGAAGCTGCGAAATTCAACAGCAAGGTAATTGCTCAACATTCATCGACTTCAACCTCTGCCGACGTTCATCATATTCAACAACATCGAAGAAGTAAAAATCGATCCAGAAGTCAAAGCCGTCCCCGCGCTTCAAAATCGGCGCCAAAAATCGATTACGCTGAATTGGGGTTGGAAGGTATGTGCATACGATGTGGCCGATCTAAGCACTTATCGAACGATTGCAGAATCTGCAAAAATTCGCTGAAATGTCGATTACGTGGTAAAATCGGTCATGTTCAACAGGTATGCATACAACATAAACTTAAAAATAAATAGAAACCCAGTATGTATACAAACACAATCGATAATTTCAACAATACGATCGATACACATACCTCTGACAGACGTCAAACATGCCACACCGATGATTTCTTTGGTATCAATCAAGTTATCGATATCTACCAAAGAAATAAATAAGTGTCAACAATAGATACACACAATTTTTTTGCAAATTTATTAATTGAAGGAAGAAAACAATTATTCGAAGTGGATTCTGGTGCCGGGTACACATTTATACCGCAAAGTGACTTCGAGAAATTGCAATTAAATAATCCTATAAGGAAAACGAACACTGCTTTTCGTTCGTATACCGGCGATGTGTTTGTGCCAATGGGAGTCGTGGACGTCAATGTCAAATATCAAAACAGATCTTCAAAGGAAGAAATGTATATTGTTTCCTCCAAACATTCTGCGCTTCTGGGACGAGTTTGGATACGTCACCTGAATATCAACCTCAACGATGTCGACTTGGAACGTGCTATGGACAATGAAAATTCGAATTACAAGGTGAATTCTGTCGAGGAAATCCACAGGAACTTCAAATTACACGAAAATGCCAATCCTGTGTTCGTTCGAGAAGGAATAGTGCCATTTGCACTGAGAGAAAAAGTGGAGCGTGAGTTGGACACTCTTGAGGAAGGGGGCGTAATCTCCAAAGTGAAC